CACTCCTGGAAGCTACCCGGTCCAACCACAGTCTAACCACTGAGCATCTTCAGTGGAGCAGATGGGGTTAAAGCCATTAGGTTAGTTGCTCACTTGACTCTCTGCAAATTTTCCCTGCTTGTATCCAACTGCTCTCACAAAACATGTGACGATGAAGGTTTGGTGACTTAGTAACAGGTTGGTAAACTGATCATGAATACGCTTGCTTGACTGGCCAATGTATTCATTAAGTAGACAAAATGTTAATAGGGTTTATTTAAGAGACTGATTTTTACCATTCACTTCTGCTATTTGGAGCAGGTTATATAAAAGTTGGATGGTGCAACACAACTAATAGGAAGGTTTTCTCTGTTTTGAATGTTTTGGTTCTCTGTACCCTTAAAGACCTGTTTGTTGATTGCCATTGATGCAAATTCACAGGTCAAAGTTCTGAGCTCTAGCAGAGATGGCTGATTAACTACTGTATGTGGATTAACTTTGAAATGAATTGATGTTTTTCCAAAATTTTGCTGTTAAAAATCCTGGTCTTACTGGGCCCTCACATTGATCACGCATTTTGTAAGCAAAATATCTAAAAACAGTCAACTTCACCCTTTAAATTATTACATTTATAGTATTTGCAGCAGTTTAGAGACAGTCTCTGTAGACTTCACCTGTCTTCAGCTCTGTCTGCATTTCTGGTTGCTGTGTTCCTCTTCAGGTGCATGCCCTCTTTCATTTGTCTTTGTGCTTCTTGAACAGGGTGTACAGGACCTTCAAGGTGGCAGCAACATCCTGAGACACAATATCTGTCACAATCCACAGGAGACTTTTAGTGGGTATTTATATTGCTACTGAGGCAGTGAGAATATGAGAATGCTTTTACCAACATTCTCAGTCCATCCCTGCAGGTCACAGATCAGGAAGGCAAGAAAAAAGAAGACATAAGATGGAAATGTAATCAATATGTTCTTGGTGAACTGAGATCCTAGCAAAGTTTCTCCCTGTTGTGAGATGTGGTAACTGAATAAGTGTGACAAAGATCGACTCCAGTGCCGGCTAACCCAATTAGTGCACACAGCACACTCCTGTTTTAGACCCTGAGTGCTTCATTCTATCACAGCAGTTATGCCGGTAATTAAAAAGGCTCTAAAAATTAATTAAATTAGCCTCTTGCTCCTGGCTTAGATTAATTGTGCTGGTCTTTACATTAACAGTTATCATGTTGAGGATTTATTTTACAATTACACACTATATGCCTGGCAGGCATTATTGTAAGAGTTTAGGGATTGTGAAAGGAAGTTTGAAGCTCAGACAGAATACAGAACAGTTTGTCAATAACAGATATGCAGGGGAGCGAAGTAGATCCATTTGTTATTGATTGCTTCATACAATTTAACAAGACGGTAGGTCAGCCATTCTGATTCACTCTTCTTTTGTTTGAGAGATTTACTATAAGTGGTCAGAAACATTACACCCATAAGTGGCTGTTGAATATCTCACTCCAAAACCACTGCCATTTACAGTAGGTGCAGCTATAACAGCCTTCTACAATATAACCCTTCTTCTGTTTCTTAAAACTTCATTGCAGGAATTTGCTTCCATTCAGCCACAAGAGAAATAATGAGATCCATCCTGGCTCACAGTTGGTGTTCCAGTTCATTCTGAAGTTGCTGGATGGGCTTAAGGTTGCATGCTCTGCGGAGGCCATTTACCTGGGAACATTTCTTTGTGCAAGGGGTTATTGTCATTTTATTATTAAAGCATTGCAAGGACTGACACCAGCTTCCATCTCTGATCTCCACAGTCAGCGCATACTGCACTTTGATCAGTTACTCCTCACTATCACATCCCCAGTCAAATTACCGCTGCCAGACTATAACATTCAGTGCTCACTGTCAGGCCTTCCCCATCTAGCAGCACTGTGTTGGAGTCCCTGCAATTATTAATATGACTACATGATTGTTTGACTTTGTCCAGAACAATTACATAGTATGTTCATCTTGCAAGTTGTAAAAATAATACCAAATATTTAGGCTAAATGTTGGGTGTCCTGGTGGTCTGGTACAGTAGTTAAAAAACATATTATAACATAATGGCGCCAGTTTGATACAGTTTGTTTTTATTATCTACTGACTGGTGAAGACAAAAATTATCTTAAACGGTTTTTGGTTGATTAAATTATTATAAGTCATTACAGCTAGAACAATGATTTGACTGAAGATTTTATGGTTCCAGTTTCTCAGATATCAAGATTTGATGTTTTTCCTTATTTTACATTATGGCAAATGGAATATTTTTGGGTTTTGACCCATGTGTTACACAAATCTAACAATCTGCATGTCACCTTGAGTTTTAGGAACATGTCATGGGCATTATTTACTATTTTAACAGTTTACAGACCAATTGATTCATTTATTAATCACTCATGAAAATAATCATTACATGTGGCCCTAAAATCCACTATATGATTACTTAAGAAAAGGTTAAATCAACAAATATCTTCCTCAGTAACTGCTATTCATTAAGCAAGCCTACTGATTTACAGTAGGACCAGAATCTGCAATGCTCTTAACATTCATGGTTAATTTCTGATGCATGATATTCTGGATGAATGCTCAGTTTCATAATACCACAAATCATGAAGCTGTGATTTTAAGGTTGAAAATTTGAAAACGGTGCACAGATCAGATCTGAATATTTCTGGGATCTGTAAGATAACTCTACATTATACAGTGGCAAAGCTCATGAATACAAATAACGCATCTTCCTCCAGACACACACACACAAATAGCAGATATAGCCACTGCAGTGAGGTTAAATCCCTGTGTCTATCAGTAGGCTCCAGACTGACATCATCCCCTTGAGGCTGTCTACCTCACTCTTCCTCTCTAAATGAATGATGATGACCTCAGACTGAGCCAATCATCGACAGTGATAGTCACTGAGACAAGAGTCACACTCAGCACACTATATTCAGCACCATGCTCCATCGAGCAGCGGAGAATAACTTAAGCTACTGGATTAATCCCCCTCTTTGTCTGACATACAAACAGATTTTGGCATTTCCCTGTCATCCTGATAAATGTGCTTGATAGAAAGCATAATCTGAAATAGTGTGACAATGCTCTCTTGGAGTTCCGTTGTTTGTTTTTTTTTGGTCACAGTCATTTTATTTACAGGCCTTCTATTTTTGTGTGTTTTGTTCTTCTGTGCCAGATGTTTTAATTTTAGTAAAATACAGTATGTTGTCAACAAGACAGAGTGTATGTTGAGTGCATTTCCTCACCCTGTGGGTTGACACCAGACATACACAGGCCCATATCTTTCAGGAGGTCCAAAGCTAAGGTCACGTTATGAAGCTACAAGTCAAAGAGACAAAAATCAGTACCTCACATGTTTATCTGAGTAATTGAATATTAAATAAGATTTAAACATCTGGAATTATGCAACCAGTACAGTATTTAATTATGTTTATATTAAAGATTTAATAATATCTCCACAAGTGTAGTGATATCTTGTACAGTGGCTGCTTTACCTTGTGCTGTATAGCTAACACTTTATTTTTATTTAAATATGTTAAATAATTTGTGACTCTCTGAAACACCAACATTAAACCTGGTCGTGGAAGGATGTTAAGCCAAGATGCTAAAAAAACATTTTAAGTTTTTCAAGTGTCACACCAACCCTGCAAAAATGACTGTTTTCAAGCAATTTGGAGATATACAGTGGTTAATTTAATTTGGAGAGTCAGACGAGAAGATGCTACTGTCATGTCGATACTGTTTAGCATGTCACAGGTAATGTAAAATCAGGTGACAGACTATATAATTGTATTTATTTATTTACTTTACATCTAACCTTTATTTTACCAGGAAGCCCCATTGAGATCAAGATCACATTTTCAAGGGAGACCTGGTCAAGATAATCCCAAATAATCTCTACAAGGTATGTCAAATAAAATGTTAAACCGGGTCTTCATTTTATTTTGAATTAAAATATACACACATAACTACTAGGCACACGATTTAAGAAGACCCTTTTACAGCTGTAACATATTGGCACTGTATGCTGGTAGCTTTCTGACATTTTAATTCAAAGATAAATCAGATCGCCATATACTTTGTATTTTTATTCAGCTTTCATTATGTTAGATCTGTCAGATTTGGCTATAAATATTTAAGCATCCACCAATAATGTATTATGCATTAGACAAATATAAAGTAATTATCATGTTGTGATCATTACCACGACAGTAGGTTTTTAGTTTGTAAGGTATCAAAAAGTCTCATGTGTCACAGTGTCTTTATACCATAAGTAATTCAGGATCTCACCATATCTATGTGAAAAAGTCATAACTTTTTCATAGACTCATCCCACTGTTTCAAGAAAAGTAAGATCAAAAACATGTAGTATGATCTTAGTACTTTTGAATTAGAATGATATAGTCTGTGTATATCCACACTTTCACAAAACATCAGCCAAAAATGAAATAATGAATAAATGTGTCACAAATGAACCCATAGTATACCATCTCAGAGGGATTTACGGGGGTCAGGTTGAAGTCGCAGAGTGGGATGAAGAAGCCTTCCAACTGTCCGATTAGCAACAGCAGAATCACCCCATCAGAAAACTAGATGGACAATACAGAGGATATTGGAGCCAATCCAAAGAAGGTGACAGGGGAAGACAATGAGACCATTTCTACTGGAGACCCTGTAAGTCCTTCAACTGTTTGTTTTTTTGTTTTTTTTACCTGTTTGTCCAGATCAGCCACCTGCAAACCCATGGATGACATATTCTGGTTGACAAAGTGTAAGATGGCCTGAAAATGACAAAACTAGGAGTTGGGTAGCTTGAAATACAAGTTGACCTGCTATAGTTTATATATTAAAGCAGCTGATCTTCATCATAAAGAATGCTTTAGTTTGGTATAGCAGGGTGAGGGATTATAATATCAGACCCCTAAATGAGTATGAGCTTTTGTTTCTGCAATCCACAACTGCTCAGAAATTAACGTTGAAGCAATTAGTCGGTAAGTTTAGTCAAACAACTTCAAGTTAATTAAAAGCTATTTCGCTTGTTTGAATCACTTGTCAGGCAGCAAGAGTTTACATCAGTTCTAGCAGCTCTATGAGGCTATACACTGGCACCGTGGTACTTTGATTCACAGAGCTGAATGCTAATCTCAGAATGCCAACACACTCACAAGGTTTAGGTTTTGGCCTGTGGTTCGAATGAAGCCTTGGATTCTAAGAAACAGTAGCTCATAAAATGGTCTCACCACAAGATCCATTTAATACTGATTAGCTGAAAGCTGCTGGAGTGTTGGTCAGACAGATTTTGGAAACTGTAATGTAATGTTTTCTTCATTTTCTTTGGCACTTTGTAGAATAAAAATGATCGTATTAACCAATAATTAAAATAATTATGAGTTGATCTGTAAGTTCACAAGACCTTTGTTTCAATAACTCAATAAAAAAATATCCATATTTGTACCAACAGTGGCCAACTGCACAAACATTTGACTGATATTGTAGATTCAGGTCAAGAAAATGATGCTTTTTTAATCTTAACACTACTGAATGTGCTCTCCCAATGCCAGTGCTGATGAGAGAGTTAACACCTGAGGCCAGCATTCCACTTCCTCTCGCTGTTATACCTTCTTCACTGTGTTGACCTTGTGAGCATCAAGCTTCAGCAGTTGCTCGATGGGATCTTCCCCTGGGTAAGCAGACAGCCAGAAGAGTGTGTTAAGTCATGGCAGGCTGTAATACTGACTGGATGGCATTCAAGACAGCACAGCGGCTCAACCTTTGACCGCTCCTACTCACTTTCAGTACTGCTGAGTGAGTCTGAGCCTGTGTCACTTCTGAAAAAGCCAAAAAGAAAAAATATATACAGTATATATGTGAGATGAACCCAGAGTTTTTCTCACATCCACATACTCAGAAATCTACTCACCTTTCCTCTGTAAGGACCTCTATCTGCACATCTGACTTGATTCCACTTCTGTTGACCTGGATGTAAATTTAAATGAGCACAATTTGAACAGCAATTCTTCAAGGTGTGTTCAGGACAAATTGGAGCAGAAAAAGTGCTAAAGCTAGAGCTGAACCTCACTTCCAAAGCTACAACTTCAATCTTCACATTCGGTGGCAAATCCAGTTCAGGCTGGAAGCGTCTCACCATGGAAACCAGCAGATGAATAGTGGCCAGAAGGTCTTTGTTTTGGATGACTGACAGATGAACAGCAGGGAACAAAACACAAAAAAACTCAGCTTGCACGAGCACCCAGCGTGGGCGCAAAGAAAATCCCTAAGGATTTCATCTTATAAACAAATTAACACCTAACTGTGTCGTTTAATTACTACTGAATACTTTAAGTCATAATGAAATGAAGCTTTTGGTATTATTTATGGTCGTCGTGTCTTGCAATCCCCTATGTACTGTACATGTTCACATTCTGCCATTACAGTATGCTTTGATATAGTGCTTTTCATTGTTGCTGACAGACTCTGAAGAAGGCAAAGCTCCAGCGACACCTGTGGTATTAAGTACAATTTTATTGTGACAGCAATGAATTTCAGGTGGTCTCACAATAAAGTTGTTCTTCATACTACAAGTTTTGCTGAAGTTTTTACTTCTTCAGATGTTTTGCCTATTCTCCATGCACCTGGAAGTCAAATAGAATTCATGCAATGTTGGCAGAATAGGAAGAACACATAAAACACCCCCTTCTCAGACTTGGAAGTGCTGACACTGTATTACAGCTTGGTTAGCTCTAGTACTAATCTTGTAGTCACACCAAATAAACAGCCTAAATTGGCTTCTGTTGTTGTGTTATATATTGCTAATTACTTAGTTAATTACTAAGTGAAACCAGATACAAACAGTGTATAGCTCCTATAAAAAAGACCTCAAAAGATTGTAAAATGCATTTGCCTATATCCTTGATGTTGCAGCATGTAAGCAAGCAATGTTGCCAGGGTCACAGAAAATGCAGTGTTATTGTCACTAGGGTTAGTGATGTGATAACAAAATACATGTGATACAAAATGACACTACACATTTTTGACTGCAGATTACTTTAAAACATTGCAGAAAGGAACGAAACACTTGTACAATTTTACTGCACCCTGCTGTGGTATGGGAAAACTGGTCATGTCAAACACAGGATAAAATCAGGCTGTATTTGCAATCATGGGTTTTCTTGGCTGCACTGTAAACAAATACATCAGGTCCACCTCTTGTTTTTTAGTCAATTGCTACTCAGTATTAAACCACACTGTAGTATTAAACCACACTTGCTGATACCAGCAGTAAACACAGGTGTTGCCAAATCCATGTAGAATAGCACTGAATTTGAAATGTTTTGCTTTCTTTTAAAAACATGTCTCTGAAATGATGAGGCTTGACATCTCTTGTTTGAAATTCCTTCTGTAGGTGAATTCAAGTGATGTAATTTTAGAAAAGTACAAAATAAAACAAATTCATAATTAAGTACCAAGTTGCCTGTACAAATTCCTAATTATTAATGCCTTTTTTTGCTTTGATAATCCAGCACTAGAAAGTAATCCACTTGCAGAAGACTGAAAGAGAACCTCCATGATGTCAGTCAGTTTTTTCTTCACAGAAATCCCTCACAGTTGGTGCCGAGTGACATGGCACCCTTGAGCTAGCACTAAATCCTGCTGTAATTTGAAGTCTGCGCCAGCACAGAACATTTGTTCACTATTTGGTTCGTTACTGAGGCTCAGTCGGCCGCATGACTCACGTTTGACGTTCCACTTAATCCGGCTGCTGTCCTGCAGGCTCAGTCTCTTGTCCAGCTCCTCTAGGACCACTTCCAACTTGCGGGTCTGAGCAGTGGTGGTCAGTGCCATCTCCTCCAAAGGCAAGTGCACCCCAGTAAACTTGGCTGTGGAATTCAAGATATATTTATTTTAAGGTCAAAGTTCTACTGGCAAATACTGTGCTTTGGATATGAGAGTTGACAGTGTTTAGGAGACCCTGAACCTTTGTTTGCTGTCATCTTCAAATTTAAATAATGATTAAGCAGAGGTATGTTAGTGATAAATGAAATATCAAGGATAACAGTGTAATCATACACATGTATTAGCTCACACAGCAGGTGATGAAGCACCAGTCCATCATACAGATCCTCCTCCAGACTCTGGACCACTATATGCTCTGGTTTCAGAGTCCTGTTGATCCAGTCAACCAGTACCTTTCAAAGACACAAATCACCACAGTTAGATACACCAAACACTTTCATCTTCTTTCTTATATGTTCCTGTTGTCAGTGTAGCAGATGAAAAACAATGTGAAACCATCTTTTCTTAAAGTAATCTTAATCAATTTTCACACAGCGTGATTCAGAAGTAGATGGAAAAGTACAAAATTTTTAAAAAAGATAGTTCACTTGTTTTTCTTTCCAAATCTACACATTAGACATGCCAGGCTGATTTTGTCTTTTTTTCCTTTATCGCCACTTTCATAAAGCTCTTGAGCTGCCATCTTTTCCAATCAGAATGTGTTTTAGTCTGATCCAGCAGACTCTGCCGGCTCCTTGCTTCCCTCTGATCTGTCTCCCATCACCTTTGATAATTATGTTCATTAAAATTTCACTGATCCTTCCATCGCTCTTCCCGCTTCAGATATTATTCATGGTCTTCACTGCAGAAAAGCATGCAGACTCCACAAGATATTTCTCATGTATAGCATCTCTTGACAGCACACTAAAGACACATGGAGACTAAGGTTTGTGATCTGCAAGATGTGCTTTAATATTACAGTAATGTAATGAGTTTAATTAATTTCTTACCTGCTTTAAACTTCCAAGTTTGGGGTCATTTAAAGACGTTGGCTGGATGATTATCCTCCTTTCTCCTGTATAAATACACAGAACTTGCATTGTTTCGGTTTTCTTTATACAGCCTTTTATATTTTATTAATTTTGTGATTGCCAGGTGCCAGGTATATTTTACATTTTTTGTTGGTTGAGCATGTTTAACTGCATGCATTACATGAAATCATGCATTTTCCCCAGCAGTCACTGCTTTTCATTCCCTTGTATAGAATACAAAAATAGCAATTTACATTGTTGTGGTGTAACAGTGCACCATCATGCTGCTCTAACTAAGGCTGGATCAGATGTGAAAAGTGAATGGTGCCATTGTAGGGATAAACTCAGAGAAAACTATCATCTATGTCTCCAGTACAGTACAGCTCAGTTTCTTGTTTTATTGCCTACAATCTTGCTGTTTTTGTCTACTCTCAACACTGCAGTGTAACAGATGAAACAAAAGTGCAGAATAGAAACCAGTCGGTCAAAGACACAGGAAAACGGCAGAGCTTTCAGTCGGGACTTGAAAGTGGCAGAGTGGGGGCACATTTAAGGTCATCAGGAAGTTGGTTCTGTCTGTGTGCAGTATAGTAGCTAAAAGGTACTTAAAGTGGTACAGACATTCTGCATGGTTAAAGACCTTTAAAATGTAAAATGAGTGATATTAAGGTAATCTGAGGCAGAAAACCCTTTTCAGTAGCAGAGTACTATCTGTAGTTCCAAGTGTATGTTATGTCATGTAAATGAGCAAATGAGATTAAAATGTGTTCAAATGTGCTACCCAAATTGATACTGACTGAATGAAAATTTCTGACCAGATATCTACCAGTTTACTAAATGCACACATACCCTGGAAAGACTGGGTGTCCACGATGTCTTCCTCTTTGTGGTACGTAAAGATATCAGCCTCCATTGTGCTTCCTTGAAGTGAGATAGTCACTTGTCTTGGCCTGAAGAATCAACTGTCCTCTAACACACTGAGAAGAATTGTTAAAATATACACCACATCAGGAAGAAGAAGTACTTTTTACGTCAACATGCTCAACAGCAAGTCCTTCTCTCATCAGGGACTCAGTAAGTGTTCTTGACAATATTGCTCAACTTTCAATAGCCGTATGGGAGTTTACTCACAACAGTGGAAGTGTAATAGTGGAAGATGCTGAGTGCACTGCAAATTTCTGCTTTTCAGGTACAAAGGAGGTTTTGAAAGGGTTTTTGTTGTTAGAAGTTGTTAGAAGTTTCTAAAAGCACAGAGAATAGAATCGAACTAAAAGCGTTTTTCATTTGAGGAAGGAAGATGTTTCATTTCCTCACTTCCTTTTTCTCTTTCTCAGCGGCAGTCAGCACTGAAAGGATCAAGTATTGCAAATCTCCAGATATGCATTGCTGTACCTCGCCTCTGAACATTTTGAATCACATGGTCTGAGACAAAGCACAGCAAACACGGGAAGTAAACAGACGTGACTTGGAGTGTGTGAAACTGTTGTTTTCTAGGTCTGTGAAGAGAAATGCCTTGGTGAGCAGCTTTTCTCTTTCTGTGATTTACAGGTATGTGTGTGTGTGTGTGTGTGTGTGTGTGTATGGCTTCCTTTTCCTGAAGTTGACAGTAAATTCCAAATGAGGTCAAAAACAAAAAGCTTACCTTCAGCACTCTGAGGGCGAATCACCAGATGGGTGACTTCAGCTGAATTTAGTTCCTCAACTTCACAAACTGACAAAACAGCGATAGGGCTGCACTCAATCTGAATGAAGGCTCTTGTGAATTTTATCAATGCAAATGACCTGACTGTTCTCAATTTCAAAATGCTGCTTTAGAAGACAAAAAAGCCACAGGGGGAAAACGGAAGACAAGCACCAACGACAGGATGTGGCAGAGTAGCTCTTCCTCTTTCTGATACTGGCTTTGCAGCTGAACATTTTCTGATAAGGGTGTTTACGTCCTGCGTCACGAGTCATGTTTGAGACTTTAATAATATGTATGTATCGAGTGGAAGACAACAGGGAGGACTCTTGGGTACAAATGTATTGTTTGGAAAACCACACACCAGGAGGGCTGAGAGAAATGTGACACTCAAAGGCCTGAACCACTCAAGCTCAGATCCATCTATGACCAGTCACATCAAGTTGCTGTAATCTGGTCTCCAGTATTGTCCATTCTCCACTTACACACACACACACACACACACACACACACAAAATAACAAGCATTGTATGTGTACTGATCTTGTTGAAGACTAGAAAAAGGACCACCCATCATTCAGACAAAGGGGCAATTTGGGAAGATGCAGAAGGTTACCATGGCAACAAAGGAGACAAGAAAATAAAGGCCTAAAATAAACCCATAATTCCTTTAGCTAAGCCCAAATTGCAGGAATTAGCTGTTCCAATTCTAATTACACAAGTAAAAAATAAAATGAAATTCTCATTCTATTTGATTCCGGCCATTTATTTCTTGATAGGTAAGATAAAAAATGCACCGGGGTGAGCGCAGTCTAGACTGACTCATCCGCTCTCTCAATAATTTAGCTTCACTGTACATCCTAGCAGGTCTCCAGGTGGCACCGCTGGGCACGCTCTGCTTCAGGAGAGCAGCAGTGAGAGGTCCAGGCCTCTTCAGGGGACACGTCTGAAAGGCCGGTCAATACAAAGATATTCTCAGGACAGCGAGAGCACAAGGAGGAAACGGCATCAGTTTTTAAATATGGCTTGAGATGGGGCAAGCATAATTTAGAGTAAAAAAGTTCCTTCTGTTCTTAGGAAAAGTGATTATATTATACAGCTAGCTAGTACAAATGTACAAAGTGTGTTCATGGTCAGGTTTCTTAAAGGTATAACTTGACATTTTTAGAAATATGCTTATTTGCTTTTTGAGTTAAGTAACACTGATATTCATTGTTTCTACACCAGTTTTGCACATATTAAAGCTACAGTATGTAACTTTTTTCATGTATTTTTGTTGTAGAAATATGCTCCAAAACTTGTCTTAATGTGGAGAAGTGCCATCAAAGCCTGCTGTGACCCAGACTCATTGAACAGCACTGGCAGCAGTGCAGAGAAATTGGCTCATAAAGGGTTCTGAGTGGGATTAACCTCTCCAACCAATAGGAGATTTTCAATTATAGTAAGGTTTGTTGCATTCTCATTTATTGTAATTTCATAACACATATCTGACGAGCTGGGCAGAGCATGGCGGAGTGTAGCAAATCATAGTAAAGCATGGGGGATGAGGGAAATGGAGAGCTGGGTGGAGCAGAGTGGATTGAGTTGGAGTTTCATGCTAGCGCTACTTTAAATTACATACTGTAGCTGTAAATAAACAAGAAGTAACATGGTAAATAGTGAGCGTAGAGGTGCTGGAAGGCAGTTTTTGTTCACTTTTAACATCAACTAATTGTTAAATTAAGCTAATGCTTGTTCCTGTGTATAGCTTCTTTTAATGTTAAGCTAACACAGATTATACTTCTTAATATTTACCTTATAAAAATGAGACTGGTATCAATCTTCTCATCTAACTGTCAGCAAGAAAGCAAATGAGTGTATCCCCAAAATGTCACACTATTATTTTTGTTTATACATTTTACATACTACAGTATAATAGCATTTTCATCCCTATTAAATAATCTGTGGAGGAGGGAATTCAGTTGAGGTTAACACACAAATGCTTTCCAGTTTTAACATTCTGTGCATGTATTTTTTTGGGGTGTGTATTCAAATGCAAGGATAAAGGTTACAGAGTTTTCAGGCTTGCAGTTAACATTAAAAGAAGGAATAAATAAATACTGACATTTGGGGAAGATTAAATGCTAGCGTTCAGAGCATTTTCAGGCTGCTCCCCCTGGGTCTTTTTAAGTCCTCCATAATGACCTTCAGTCCTAGTCGGTCTCCTCCAGTGTCTAGACAGTAAGGCATAATATCACTGCAAGCACAGGGCAGTGTTGAAAGTAATATTAGCGGTGAAACTGTTCACTCAGAGTTTTTGTAGTTGGTGAACAGGTTGTAGAGGACTCTGAGGGTGGACTTGAGGTTCAGGTTGACAACATCTGTAAAACAAAAATCAAGACAAAGCAGAGGTCATTAGCGTTCGTCAAACCAGAACTACTTGAGTTGTTTCAGGAAGAATATTTAGGCCTTTGCATGAACAAAAAATAGATTCTTGGAACACTGAGCACAAAATAAATGGTCGGTGCTACCATAAAATCATATTTACAATGCAAAGAAGCCCCTTCTGTGATTGCGGGGGACTACTTTCCATCTAAATGTTATTTGTAATTTTGAAAACAAAATGGAGCTCAAAATATCTTCCAGAAAGTTGCAAATGATTAGTATATGATATATTACTTATTACCAGGACAAATTCATAGGCACAGAAATACTTTGTTCTCTCCCAGAACCATGGTGTCCTACACGTGCGCTCATTAATTTTTTGTAATTTGTCATCACAACTATGAGATATATTGTTACAGCAGCCCTGTCATTGTATCTCATTTTAAACTAGCATTACTTAGGCTCCTTATGATCTGCATTTCCCTTTCTGCAGATGATATATCACTTCTACTTTTATTTATAATTAAGCTGCAGATGTGCACGAGTCAATCTAACATAGCGTATACTGTCGTAGAAGCACAGCTATAAAGCTATAGAAATAATAGCTATTGTGGTAAAAGCTATAATGCAAAATTGCGATTACAGAGTGCAAGTAGCTTAGAAAAAAAGGGTTTCTGGCTTAGTCAGGAAAATGTCTGATGGAGGGAAAAAAGCATTTGCATTATCCTAGTTCAGCATTAAACATTTAGTTGTCACATGCACAGTGACAGACAGTGCACAGTGCTGTGAAATGCTGGTTGCCATTTGTGTATAGTATAATAAAATATAGAAAAATATGCATATTTTAGGAATAGGAAATGTAAAAGAATGAATAAAGGTACATTTAAAAATGAGCAAAAGCATGAAAATACACAGTAATTAAAATGTATATGGGATATTAAATATGGAACAATATATGACATGATAAACCAGATTGTTGTGGATAAATATATGCAGAACTAAAGCATAAGATATAATATAAAGTAGCTCTGACAGTTCTAAAAGAGTATTTTATTGAAGAATTCAACAGAAACAGTCTGTTGAGATATTTGAGTGGGTATTGATGGCACTAAACTTAGATATGCAGTGATTGTAAATAATGTTAATATTTCTATTTAAGCTACACTACAAATAAACACGGTGTATTGTTATTTCAGTTTAGTACTGTATGAAATAAAGTGGACAAACAGTAGCTCACAGTGCTTTCAACTGAGTAGGAGACTAGACAACCAGTCAGTTGTATTAAATCACACTCAAAGCTTTCTCCAGTTTTTCTGTATTAATATTTCTAACTTTAGAGGTCTTTGGGACTATAAGGGCTTAACCATAAGATACACAAAAAATCCTATATGGTGAAAAGATTAAATCCAGTTTTTATCTAATATTTATTATAAAAGCAATAACTACATGGAGATGTTTGTTGTGGTTCCTCATGTAGAAATGATTGTATTTCCCTAAAAAACAAATATAGTTGGCTATTCAGTAAAGTACAGCTCAAAACTGAATGGACTCCAGACCAGCCAGCCAGTAAAGAGTATAAACGTAAGGCAAGGTTTCCATCTACTGGACAGCCCTTAATACCACTGCTACTGTAGGACATAAGTTTTCAGCACCTTGTTACAGGAGGTAGATCTCTGTTAGTGCGAGAGACTCATAATCTCAGTCACGCTCCAAGAAATCTTCAAGCAGCTCATGTTTTATCCCTTTTATCAGATCTAATTAAATTGTAATGTATCTTTGTCTACAGACTACCTTCTGGTCTGGCTTTAGGTTTCTTCAGGCCTGCATCCTGCATCAGCTCAAAGGCAAATGCCACATTGTGGACCTGAGGGGAAACAAAATTAAAACTTAGTACTTTTCTACATTAATAAAAGTCTTGTAATTTACCCAACAAACTCTGATTTTTGAGGGAAATCACCTTCTGTTCAAAGCTCTCAGGTGTGAGGAAGAAGCTGTACAGAGGGACAAAGTAGTCTTCCAGCAGCCCCATCAGCAAAATAAGATAAACTCCATCGGCAAACTGGACACACACATACAGATAGCAGACTGTATTTAGAAATACAGCACAACCAAAATTAAAACTGCATAAGTAAAACAAATTGAATTATACATACATATGAACATTACATTTCAAGAAGTACTGCATGCAAACAGACCAAAGATGATGATAACATGAGTCTATAGATATACCACTGAATCTCATACCTGAGATTCCAGCTCAGTGACTTCCAGGTTGAGTTTGTTCAGGTGTTTGTTCACAAAGGTGATGAGTGACTGACAAAGAAAATTATGAAATTGTTTTAAAAAAAATACATCTCCAGTTTCAGGAGACTATTCTACCCATTATCAGGCAAAAAAATATCTTTGTTTACCGTTTTCACCACATTGAGCTTATCAGGGGCATGATCCAGCAAAGTATCAAATGCATCCCTCTCTGTTTTAGAAAAAAAAGAATTCAGTGCTTATGAATTGTTTATTAATTTGAGATTTTGGGAAACTTTTGGGAACTCTTGTAACTGTCCTGTAAATGTAAGTGTACAGCCAGAGGATGGTGAACTTGGTTTAGCATCAAGACTGGAAACAGCTAGCCAGGTCAAAGGTTACAACACAGCTGAACAACAAATATAAAACCACATCATTGTTTTTTCAGACTTAAGTTTTTTGTACAAACTAATCAAACAAGAGATAATTTTGAATCAGTGAGCTTTACAGGCACTGGTATGCAGCTTTTGTTACCCTTAACCACAGTCAGACTTACTTTTAACCATGTTTGCAGTCTTTGTGCTAAGCTAAGCTAAGCTAACTGTCTGCTGAATACAGGTCTATATTTCAATACGGACATGAGAGGCATACGATTCTTCTCATCTACTGTTCAGCAAGAACGAGATTAAGTGCATTTCACAAAATGTTGAACTGTTCATTTAAACAAATAAACTAACAATAAAAGTAAAGAAACTATAACACTATAACACAACTGATATGGAACTCACCAAGTCTTCCCATCATCATTCTGAAAAACATAGAGAATTTTAAAAAACTTTTCAGTTTTCCATTCAGTATGCAGGCATCTACAGCCTTTTAAAACTTAACATGGTATAAACATTATTCATACTTTACACTAAATACTGAAATAAAAAGAAGACAACTTATTAAGGAAATGATATCAGCTCTGACTCTGTAGTGCTGGTTAGCTCCTTGGTCACTAGAGCAGTCTGCAGGATTCCCTCTCGTTTCTGCCCAAACAAAATCAAAGAGATTTAGTTGCCTCATGAAGAATTATTGGAACTGTTTATATATACACACAGATTGTGCAAATCACATCTACAGACAAGGCAATGACAAATAATGAAACATTTAGCCATAAACTGCCACTATAATGTGTTAGTCTCATAAAGTTAATGTTTTAAATTGGTTGCAGTAATTTTTATTATTTTAGACAGCTCCTTTAGAGGTTGAGGTATAGTTAGTGTAAACTTTTCTTAGCTTTCTGTGGTTTGTCTGTAACTCACTATTAACACTGCCTATCTGGAAAAAGCAATTCTTAGTCTCAGTGAGGAGTTGTCAGTTAAAAAACCTAAAGGTTATGTATACATCTGCATATCCAGCCCTACATCACTGCACATATTGACGATCAGTGTTCACACTGTGCAAGCTTGACAGGACACTTTACCTTGACCAGCACCACCTGTACAGAGACGTGTTCAGGCAGTCTGGTGGGGGCCTGGAAGTGCATAGCTAGAGCCACCAGCAGATAGACAATAGCCACCAGGTTCTTTGAATGGATAGCTGTAAATCAAAGGAAAGGACTGTTGAAAAACTCTTTCAAACAGCAAGCTCATATACTGATGTGAGCCACGTTCTATAGATGAAAGGTAACAGATAGTGCTTTTTGCAAGATATAACAAGAATGGAAAAGCTGCAAATGAGCAATTTATGAATTATACATTTATGGCTTTAGCTACAGTAGGAAGTCCTTATGTTTGTAGAGTTACCCAAACCTATGCTCAGAATTTGTAATGCAAATTAAGAAACTTGTTTATCTGTTAAATAGGCATTAATCAGTTCAAACTATTGAAGTGTTCTGAATAATATGCCATTGCTAGTTTTGTTCCCATAGCAATGGCACCTGGGGCTCATGGGTATTTGGACCCATCTGCCATGCCATAACATAAACATATTTGGTTTTCACATCATTTGGCTAAATTACATTAAGTGTATCATTTAGAGACAAAACTGAAATGGGAACAAACACTTTCAGAACAAGCAGCCATCGAACTTGCAACTTGCACCATATGAAAACAACTGCATAATATCATCAGAGTTATTCTGGATTGGGACTTCATATTTTAACAGAACCCTCATTAAAATTGGAGATGCAACATTTGAATGAAGTGGGAACTTAGGATACAGGAAGGAGCTAATGAAAGACACTGTGGCAATGTACTATGAGAAATGTGGAATCCAGCTTGGCCCGGGGTCACGCAAATCACCGAAGTCAGTGTAAAACTCACAGTCTACACTCCACTCGATGCTCCAGCCATGAGGCCTCAGCAGTTCGTTAACAGCCTCCAAAACCGTCTGAAGTTTCTGCTTCTGGCCAATCTCTGACTGGGTCACCTCAGCCACGTTCAGCTTCCTGCCTGACAACTTTTCTATCAACAACAGGAGAGACAGAGGTCAAACACTCAGTGTAACGGGATCCATATATGGAAGAAAATAATTACTTACAGCACCATGCAGCAGCACTGTAGTGTGCTATACAAGTGAGCAATGTGTGAGCTTTAAAGAGAGCCCCGAGTTCAGGTGTGTGCCAGTAAAATGAGGGCAGCAGAATGAGAGATTTTAAAAAAGACTTTCAAGTTTAAAAAAGTGCACAACAAAATTTAACGCCTGAATCCATGGATTATGTTCTTTGTGAACCAAGGACATGATGGATCTTGAAAATGTACAAATACAGTGGCTGCCAACAACAAAGATGACTTGTAGAGGAAGACTTATTTTGCTCTAAGGGGAAGTAAGGAGAAGAATTTAGACAGCTCATCTCAAGTGTGTGGGTTCAAATATTATATAAAAAAAAAAAGAAAAAAGGAGCTAGCAACACTGATAAAAAATAAATAAATCCAAAATGTGCATTGAAGGCAAAGCGGGGTGCAAAAGTGATAAAGACGTGTGAAAACTAAGAAAAGCTTTAATAGAACTGAAGACATCACATCTTACTTTACAAGATGTTTCCTGCTGTGTATTTTAACTGTTGTTCTTGACACTTCTGCAGCGTATGTAATTAAAAGCCAGTCCTATTTTGTAAATCAATATGCAAGTAAGCTCTTCCTGTTTATTCTTGTACATGTTTGACAAATAATGACACTTTTTGCCAGTCTGGAATAATTAGCAGGTGTTTACACAGGCGACAGTAAGTGGGAGCAAAGAAGAAGAAATCAGTGTGGAGGTAAATGAGTTTTCCCTTTGATTACACAAAAAGCACATGAGAGCCCATCACAGAAAATTTAAGAATCTACTCAGAATAAAAATATCCTCGAGGCCGCTAGCAGCTGATTAGTATGTGTTGTTGAGAAGGAGGAATTTCAGCCTCCTGTAACAAATAACAGACACAAGGGGGAAGCACTTAACAGACAAAGGACACTGAAGCCTTATTAGACAGCGATGAACAGTAGTGAATACTCAGTTATCTCAGTGGATATCAGGCAAAACAATAAGACTGCTAATATAAGCAATTTGCTTTTGAATGTTTGTAATTTTACAGTGTTTCTAACAAAACCCTGTAAAGGAAGAACTGTTTGAGCACATTGTTTTTACCAGTAGTCATTATGCTACAGTTTTGTTTCATGAACAGATCAGTAGGAAAAGGAAATCTTGCACCAGAAATTGTTGAATTGCTGCTCACTGTTAGCTGCAAAATTTTTGTCACAGAACTTTGTCAGGCGCCAAAGTCACAATATGAGCCGACAACATCTTTACACTGGAGCCACAGGCTGTACCAACCAGTGACTGCACCATAAATGACTGATGGTGTAACTGTCTCACAAGGTTGTGATTTCACCAGCTGTAGTATAAATATATTTCATATAATGAGGTCAATATCGGCTGGAGGTCTATGAACAAAATGCTGGATTTCAAATGAACTTAATATTGACAGATTCAAAACTTTCAACAGCTACTGCCAATTTTCATACAGATGCTATGTGGATAAAGATGTGAGAGCTGCCAAAGAAACAGGTTTCTCACCAAATAACTTCTGGAGCACTTGTCCATCATAACAGTCCTCCTCCAGGTCTTTGACTATGATCCTGTCTTCCTCCAGCTCACTGTTGATCCAGTCAATCAGGACCTGAAAGCACATCAAAATGCAATCACCCTCCTATGTACCAATTTCATTTTTACTTTTATTGCTCTGATTATTTTTGAAGAATTGTAATGCCAACCTACCTTCAGCATATCTTTAAATTTAGGGTTTTCCCGTGATGTTGGGTCTAACATGATCCTCTCAGCATTTTCCTCTGATGAAGATAATAAAGAAATAAAGTTTTTATGTTACGACCTGGATCTGGAGGAACAATGCTCTGGTCAAGTGAATGTTTCTGTGCACATTGTGGAATGGCAATAAAAAGTCTTGATCTTGATATTGAAAGTCAGTGGAGCTTTATGGTGATACTATTTCATTTTCTACACATTTATCTTCACCGTCTGATATGGACATATTTTTTTGTCTCACAGTACAAATCCACAGCCACAAAAAAAAAAAACAGATGCACAATGTTCCTGTCACTCTCATTTCAACAGTGATTCACATGGTGACTGAAGACAAAGGCGTCTCCACTCCACCCACTTTCATTTCCTGCTCCTTCACTGTCAACATGTGGTATAATCATATAGTCTCTCTGTGAACTTTGTAACCTCTGTCAGCCAGATGCAAAAAGAGAAAGAGAGAGATGTAGTTCTAGTTCTAAATAAGGCGGTATTTACATGTGTATATGGGGATTGCATGTTTTTGCTGTATATACCCAGCAATGTGTCCTCTGGATGGATGTCTGTCCCTGGTGGAAGCATGGGGGCATTGATGGCCTTCTTCCCCTCCTCATGGAGCTCACTCACTTAAGAGAGACAAACACAACACACACCAAAAGAAACAAGCTTTTCATGAAGCAGGGCCAAGGCACAACAAATTCACTGAAGACATATGAGCATGGAAATGCTTAATTTGCTCATAAGTAATTGAAAAGATCATATGAAATGATGAATTTCTATGGACTGAGCATATAAAACAGAGAAGACTAAAAAAAAGCAAAAACTATTAGTGCTCAAGCATGACAACAAACCCCTGTGTAAAAAGTGAGGTGTTAATTTGGTGACACTTTGTTGGAGCTGCTCCTCTATAAATACTAGATGACTCCATTTTACACCACTTTTCTATATTTAGTGTCACTAGTAGCTGTATCTGAAGGTTAGAGTGTATGGGACTTTATATCTGTAGGCACAAATCTTAAAGTTTAAGTGACATCGTTTTAACAATCCTTTCTTCTGTTATATGCATTTGATTTGATTTGATTTATTCTTTCAAGCATGTAAAAACAGTTGATATGACAACACACATACACATAATCCAATATCAATTTGCTTATACCTAGCACATGCTTGAATGGAGTAGGAAGAAGTCAGACTTATCCAGTCCTACCCCATGACATCATCTTACCATCATTGGTTTGCAAGCAGTAAATGATTCACTTCTACACCACACAAGTAATATACTAAAAAAAGATTATAACAGTATTAACATTCTTACATAATTACATTCTTAGATAATTATCTTCTACACCACACAAGTAATATACTAAAGAATTATTACAAAGTGTTAACATTCATACACCACACCCACAATGTTCCATCTAATTAATCATTAAGCCTGTTCTTGCATATATCTTGATTGACACATACCTTTATATTTATGTTTAAACTCGTCAATTCTATTACTATTTTTTATGTCTACACTTACTTGAGAACTCTACAAAGGTACACTTCTTAGGTACTTTACTTGATTACTTTTTACTGCTACTTTATACTTCTACTCCATTTCAGAGACAAATACTCTACTTTTTATTCTACTTTATTCTATTATTGTCTTTTATCAAAGGATGATAAAGTCCATTTAAAGGATCAATAGACCCAAAATTGTCAAGTTGTTTAAGTTTACCATCTCATACTTTCAGCTTGCCAGTAATTCACCTGGAAAGTGAATTGGTGGACAGGACAAATAATCTATACACTTAACAAATAAACCTTTTTAGTTCCATGTTGTAAAGTATATTTACTTTTACTCGCTCTTCACCATTTTGTACTGATAGGAAACTGCAAGGAGTGCACTGCGGGACATCAAATCAAACTGTGTTGCTCCATAAACAGCACCAACATCTTGTAAGAAATGTTCTTCCAGGGATTCTGAGCTGCTGCCAGAGCTGTCACTTCCTCATTTCTCCTTCAGCTCTTTCATCTGCACTGCGTTATAGGGCTGCAGTGTCCACCAACATTCCACTTATAAATCGAGTCATTTCATCATGAATCTTGGGCCATTACACTCATTTTTTCATCCCAAACATCTAGTTTTAAACTGGGAACTGAGGGTTTGATTAAATGATGAACAGACACACAAAAAATAACAAACAAACAAACACACACTCTGATCCTAGCTTCAATAAAATCAATTTCTGCTGAGATGCTCTCACTTCTGACTGGAGAGGCACTCCAGGGGTTTAAAGGCTTTCTTCCCCTAATGGCCACGTTGCTTTTCTATTCCTTCTTTTCAATTTGCTAAACATGCAAAGGGCTGCACCACAACCAACGCTCTGTATTCTATTATTTCACTGACTTGCTTGCTACTGTATATAAAAAAGAAACAGCAAGATGAAACAGAGAAAAGGCCACATTAAGTGTGTCTAAGACAGAAAGCTTAGAACAATGTGCTTATGGTACAAACTGACATCTTCAAAGGATACACACAATTACCATGGGAGGAGGCGCCCCCTCAGATTTCCTATCTCATTCAGGCTTCTCATAGGAGCCGAATCTCACGACAGATCAGCAGTTTGCTTTGTAATTACAGAGCAGCCTTGTTGCATTTCATCATAATTGTGCTACTTCTTCCCTCTGTGCCTATCTGACTGCATTACTGCTGCTCTGTACCGGGCTGGACAGAGATTTGGCACTTCACACAGTAAACTAAAATCTGCATTAAAGTGGAAACTATGCAGTTTAATTCATTTACTACAGCACATTTACATAAAATGATGTATGGAAATACAAATCTTGTCCCTCTCTAGTCCAGAAAAATAACAGCAATCCTCATAAAACACACACACACACAAAAATGTATCTTTTAAAGTACAGATTTCACAGTGACTTATACTTACATTTTGTTGACCTCTCACAACAACCAACACAACCCATTTTAACCCCACAGTGCACAAAGGTAAAAGGTTCTGCTTCCACATTTCCACGTACAAGTTCCTCAAAGCCGAACACTAAAAGCAAATTACCTTGTTTCTTCCTCTTGGTCCCACACAGCAGCCCCGCCATATCTCCACTATAAACCTCTGGATTCCCCCTGATGGCAACGAGTGAAGATGGAAAATGTCGCGTGTGTATATGTGTGTGAAACGCAGTCCACAGGACTGAGCAGCGGCAGGGGCGTCATTATGGGTTTATTTCTGTCACAGCCCTCCACCCCACCTCTTCGGTCCAGTTACCGGAGACAACTAAGGAGGGTGTGTGTGTGTGGATCAGGAAGGAGATATCACACTGGACATAAAGAATGAACGTAGTCCTGCTATACCACACCAGTGGTAAACAGTGCACACGGGGAAAGACACCACTGACCTATGACAGGTAGTGATATCCACTGACTGTATAATGTGTATTATGATTGCAGCATGGCGTTTTAACCCCAGAAGAGTTTTCTTAATATAACCAATGCCAGTCACAGTTCAGAGGAAACATAAACAACAGAGTAGAGCAGGATGAAGTCAACCTTGGTTCCACTGCTCCTGAGGAGGGAGGTGGTTGACTGTGGCACAGGGGGAAGATATAAATAATGCGGTAGTATGGAGAAGTCAGACTGGACCTTAAATATAGCTCTGGCTATTTAAACCAACAGAGCAACTGCTGCAGCAGCCAGGAAATGACAGTGTTGCAGTATGCAGTGTTGCAGGGGGGCCTTCAGCAGATATGAACCATGACATCGAACCAATTAATTAAACCTAATATTTGTTATTATACGTCTCGTACTTTAATGTTGTAATTCTGCCACAGCAACCTCTGTCTACTGTGTACATACAGTATCTATATCATGAGAATCTGTCTGCCCCTCCACTGTTGCTCTTTCTATGCTGCTCCCTTAATTTTGGTTCCAGTTAAAGGTTTTTGGTTTTAAATCAAAATCAGTGGTTAACGGATAAATTAAGCAACTGTTGTTCAGACTAAGCTAAATTTAAAACCAATACTGATTGAAAGTTTAGGGAAAAAAGATATATCTGCCAAATTCTTTTTTTTCATAAACAGAACACAAAATATATTTAATATGGGTTTTTAAATTGTGCAACAAATATTATTTTTATGAATTTCAAGGATATGAAATATGTACAGCAATGAGTGGGACAAATTAACTTTGGAACAATCTTTTCTTTGCTCTCTAGTGAGCAAACTGCACCAGAATGAAACTACAAATATTGCAGTGACTCCATTTCTGAACTGCAATTTCTTGTTAGTATCAGTCAATACATTGCTGAAACTCATATGAATAGGTTAATATAGCACGCTGTATTGGTCTGGCCAGTTTAGTGGGGAGCCTCCAATACAAATAATATAGTCCTGATTTTATTTGTCAAGTTCAAGAATTGCTACTTGAAAAGTTGCCTGAAACAGTGAATGTGCTTCTGTCTTTTGAATGACTCATATGTTTAAAATACCAGTACATCTCTTGGATATTGACAACTAATAATACAATAACCTTCAAGTCAGTAAAGTTTACCAGCTACCAGATTAATTAATATCTAATATACTCAATTTCTCCCCATCCTTTTAATGTTTGTGCAGAAGTAGCAACAATTAAATGAACAGGTAATAATAATAAAACTGGACAGAACAGATGACTTACCATTATCAGTATCCATGCTAGAACTTCTATTTTAGTTATGTATTGTATTTTCCGAGTTTTAATACTCTTTGCATTAACAATAATACAGTGAGAATGTGTCCTAGCCCTCATCCTCAGTCCTTATAAAGCAAAAGCTTATCTTGTACCAACACTAAACTGGTATTATTACAGCCAGTTACTGCCGGTTTCTGACAAAGGGGGTTGTGCCTTGTCAGTGAAGCACAGGCTTCCTTTCACTTTAACAACATATACAGAGCCAGGCACACAACAGTATCTTTAAAAACTGAGTCTACAGGAATCTTCCAGTAATTTTGTGGAACAGCCTCAAGAAACATTTTCTATATCATTTTTAGTACAGCAAGGGGAAAAGGAGGATTTATGTGCTTAACACTGTAGTAAAAGGTGGACATGTGGGTGCTAAGGAGTGGCAACATAATTTAAGAAAACATAAGTCCCTTTCTTACAGTAAAAATGCAATGATGTCATTAATGATTATTCAGCAAATGTGAAGCAACTTTTCCACTGGCAGCCCATCTCCGCTGGATGTTCCCTTTAGAGAACGCAAACCACACCCAAAAGTAACAGAAACCACAACAACAGCAGCAGCATGTCAGGCTGCAAGATGTGCTGCGCTAGCAAAATTAAACCTGACATCCCCTTGTTTTGTTATACTGATTTCTACTTCCAACATCACCAAGGTCTGCTACCTTTAAAATAACCTGTCTCATCTGATCTTTAATCCAGTTTGACCACACGGGGGCACTGCACTCTCACAAGCTGCACTAAAAAGCATGACCTGCCCCAAGGCTGGAACTGTGACCTGGTGGGATTCACTTCTGTCAACACTACACAACTCACTTAAAGCCTTTCAGTTCTGAGACCAACGGGGGTTGACAAATAGAGATACTGTTAATGTTTTACACACTTATCATTCAGTAAAGGTAGGCAGGAAATAAAAACAAATCAAAGGTTTCCCTTTCCACACTTCCATCTCTCTTATACCCACACTAAAGTCAAAGTCTCTCACTCTCAGCAGCAGGGACCCCATAGTGTGATGGAAGATAACTATGACTGACACGACACAGCATGAAAAAATACAAAGCTATCCTATTTAAAATGAGAAATAATAACCCCTGCCTCTAGAGAGTAAAATATGGAATTTAATGAGGCTCATAAACAATTAAGACTCTGTCCTCCTGCTGGTGGCCCTACTTGAAGGGAGACTGCCAACACATGGCTGAGAGCACACAGCACAACACACACAAACACACACTGAGGTGCTGACCCTGGCAGCTGTCTCACACACTGACTGGCCTGGAAGGCAGAAAATAGTGGTTAACAGCTGGGGAACCTGGGACAATAAGTTAGAATGTTTTGATGCCCAACATGCAGTAAGCCCAGTGATCCTCTTACACCCTTATCTTCATAACCCTCCATTCCTGTCACCACTGGACCATTTGATCTATTTATGTTTATGACCTCATGTTAAAGACCCGTGGAGCTGCAGACGAGCTTGGTCTTTCATTCACACCTCTATCAGATTATATAGGAATAAAAACCAAGATAAACTCTACACCTCTTTTTATAAATGGTGTGAGCAGTTCACGGTCACGTCCCAGAGAAGCTCATCATGTGACTGCAGCACCATGGACAGCAGCACAACAAGGGGAATAAACAGAACCCTTTTATAATGTTAGAATATCGTGGAAAACCTTTAAGACTCACCCTCTTTAGACTTTTTCTTCCGCCCCAAGGTTCCTCCTAATCTCCCGAGGAACGATTCGTCCTTTCTCATTTTTGCGGACTGCGAGGTCGCAGATGTGTAGGGAGTCCGAGACATCTTTCAGTACGTGGATCTTAGCAGTGGACTCTCTTTGGCAGTAATGTCACTCCTCCCTGTGATGCATTCACCGGCATACGACCCAGTCACATCGAGAAGACACGAGCTCACCGGCTGATGAGAGCGCTGTCTGGGTATGGACACATTCAAATGACTCACATGTGGGTAAAAGCATCATGGCTTCACTGTGTGAAGACGGCTCACCACACAGCGCCGCCCACAGGTAGGATGATGAATGGAATGGGTGAATAAGGAGGAACTGGGGCCCAAGGGTTTAAGGGGGCCCCTGAATGAGCCTCAGTTTGAAGTGAGTAGTAATATTTCCTCTAAGAAATTAAAAAAATACACACACACAAAACTACTACAACTCCAAATCAGAAAAACTTGGGACAGTATGTAAAATCACAATTAAAACTGAAAACTGTGATTTGTAAATCATCTGTGCTACATTAAAAACACTACAACAGCACATTATTTGATGTGACACCTCATCAATTTTATTCTTTGTTCAAAATAAACACACTTCAATTCTGATGCCTGCAACACTCCAATAGTGACAGTAAATCATTTACCACAGTGTGATGTCGAACTTCCTTTTCACAACACTTAAAAGACGTTTAGGGACTGAGGACACCAAGTGATTAAGCGTGTCAGGTGTAAATTTGTCCCATTCTTCCTGCAAACTAGTCTTAAGGTGCATGACAGTCCTGTAATAAGATGCATCCATCCACATCTATATGTCATTTTTAGGCTCTATAATATTTCGATTACTACCAACTTTTCAACCTGATCAGTTTGTTGATTGATCACATCAATTTAAGATGCAGCATATTCACACACCGGCACAATCATGCATGTGGAAAAATATATATTTTAGGGCAGAACATGTTGGATCAAAAGATCAATTACAGAATTTCATCAAAACATTTGACTGATGAGTTTCATCTGATGTTTCTCACAAACAGAAGCAGGACTGACTTCAATGCTCATCAGCTCCTCTGGTTTCTGGTGCTATTTTTAGGAGGCAGAAATTCTAATTAATATAGCGCAGGACATTTTTAAAGCTCTGTGGACAACAGATCGTGTGTAATGTTTATGTGATGCGGCTCTTGTGCACTCACCTGTGGTCTGCAGTAGTTTCCAGTCAGCCTTCAGCCTGTGTCTCAGACTTTCCACGGCCTCCACATCCTCAGGTAGAGGAGCGTGAAGCTGCCCCAAAGAGGGGGCAGCATCACCAAGGAGGGAGGAGGCTGTGGGGCCGACACAGGCCCTCTCAACGTCCTGAAATCAAAAATGGCTGACTACTATGATAGATCAGACTGCCACTTCAACCTCCCCAAAAACAGACACTTTATCTTTCATATATCAAGGCATGAGGCGCTTTTACTTTACTTTCTGAAACCTGCCGCAGCCTTCTTACCTGCATGAGTACTAGTGTGTGCCCTTGTGCGAGGCCCTGCAACAGACCTATTAGTTGTTTCCACACAGTGTCACACAGTCCGCTATCTGGCATCTTAACCAACAGAACCAGACTGGGGTCGTACTCATACCCCAGTGGCAGGAGGAGACCTAACACGGCCTGCATGAACCCTGATGCGTCCTGGCAGCCCTGTGGGAGGACAAATACACATGGGAGTGTTCTTCATAAACACATTTCCTGAATGTAAAACACATATGTACAATATGGATAGCACAGATGCATTTGTAATGCACATAGCATTATTTTGACAATCATCTCTTACAATATTTACTGCAATATTCACAAAATGCATGGTTAAATACTAAAGTTTGTGTTCATCAAATGGGTTGTGTGTGATATAGTGTAGTGTAGTGCTGTAATACAGTATCTTGATATGATAACTTTAGCATAATACAATGGCAATAAAATACTAAAACAGTAATACTGAATTAGCATCCAGTTGTACATGCAAACAGATAAAGCAACAACTCCTCTAAACTGTGACTTTTACTGTTGTACTACACAGTACCTTCTTCAGACACACAGGGATATAATATTTGCATTTCTGTTCCTCAGACTTCTTGCTGCTGAACTGCACCACGAGTGTCTTCCTGAAGATGGAATTCGTTTTGTCATCATGATGTGGCAGACTGATAACCTTTTTTCAATGGCTCAATGCAGACATATTTCAACACAAAGTCCAACAGAGAGCACAAATGATATTCACCCATCATCTGTGCCGTGACTCGGGACCTTCCCGTCTCCAACACACACAACTAAAACCCTGCAAAAACAGACAGTGGTCTCCAATCACACAGTACTCTTGACAGTAAAACTGCTCTTAATGAACATGTAGCCTTCACTGTTAAGCCTCATTCATTTGCTCATATTCAGTGAAGTCAGTTTGACCTTTGAAACAATTTTCCATCCTTAGAAACTATTGTTAGACTGTTAGATAATGTATAACATTAGATACTATTCATCTGCAATTCTGCTTTGATTTCAAGGGACCATTTATTGTTTATGTTCAATCCACTCATCTCATTCCTGGAAAGGAAATAAATAAGCATCTTCCACAAAATGCTGAACTCTTCCTTTAAAGGTGGCTGATGTACCGGTTGCTGAGGGCAGCTGCAGTGTGCTGGATGACACACATTATCGCCATGGAGATGTCACGGACCAGCGCCAAGCCACTGCAGATCTGAGAGGAAGTAATTAAATATAATGGTATCAGCCTGCAGCTCATGTTAGCTGGGCAGCAAAGCAAAAACACTAAAGCAGATCTGATCTTAGCACTCAGAGAAACAAGGCACAAACAATATCCTGACTGTACCTCATTCTTCTCCATTCGCTCTGCAAGAGCAATAAGACTGGAGAGTGTTGTGAGAGCATCGCTGTCATCCGCATCTTTGAGGAAATTCTCCCTTAATTTGGAGGAGACTCATTTTTGACTAATGTAGTACATGAAATTAAGATTATGAATATTATTTTGAATTCAGGAACAAACTCCAGCTGTGTAAATAAGAAATAAAGTTGATTATTATGGATAATGGTACATGAAGTTAACCCTTACCAACAACACCTCCATACCTGAATTTGTTGGCAATGAGTGGGTCGGGGTCCTCTGCTGACATGAGGCATTTACATCTGTCTGGGCAAGCCACACCCTCTGGGAGCACAACAGCAGTACGGATGGCAGAAGGGACTCGTTTTGGAGGCTGTGGCCACACCTCTTCCTCTGCACTTTTCTCTTCTTCTTCCTTATCCAACTTGTCTTCTGCTAACTTAATGTGTTTGGTGCTGATTTCACAGGAGGGAAGATCAGCTGGAGTAATAGAACAAGTAGTGAAAATATAAGTAACAGGAGATTAAAACTAATAAAACAGAAGCAACCAGGAAGTATTGCTAGCCACTGCTCATCTCTGTTTGAAGTTGGTAGTTCGAAGCTACTAGCATGACACAGCCGAACCTCCAGCCAAACTATCAACTGTTAGAATTGCATTTGGGTTATGTAGGCCCCAGGCTTTGACAAAGAACAACAACAACATGGAAATAAAAAAATAAAAAAATCACATCTGCAGCATAAATTTTAAACTGTCTATCATGACTCTGACAAGGTTATATATAGTAAATGCTAAACTGATAGAGAACCGTTTTAAGGAACAGCTCTGAAAGAATAACATGGATGTCATACCTGCATGTCTGATGGAGGACCAGTACCGTCTGTGAGCTGATCGGACACAGTGAAGGGACTCAAGTGCACTGAAAAAGAAAAAGAAATTCACTACAGCTGTAAAAAACAAAACAAAAACAAAACAAAAAAAAACACACACACACAAGCTAATGTTTAAAACCCAACCGTGACTGAGTGGGAGGCAGACCTTTTACAGGGACCATCCAGGTTTGAGGGTCGTGGTACAGGATCTCCAAGCAGTGTCTGAACGGTCTGACAGACAGACTGGGCGAGAGAAGTCAGATTGTACCCTCCCTGGAAACATCGACACAACAAAGCTTTTAAAAACCTTGCGTTCCGCCAACAGGTCACTTGCACTATGTCGTACTTTCTATGTAGTAAAATGAATATAAAGATATAATACTACATTACATGATAAGATGTAATTGTGGTCATTTTTAAAAAGAATGCTTCTGTTGTAAAAAAAATGTTCCATGTAAAATATCTGGCAGGCAGGTTAGATTTCTAGACATTAGTGGTTTTGTTTGATATGTTTGTGTTAATGTTAATAAGAACATTTTGTGTAACCTGATACCAACAAACTGACCTCTAGAACTGCACACACTTTGCCTCCCGCAAGGTTCATCAGGAGGTGAGTGAGGTGGGCAAAGATGTCTGGAGTGGCACACATTTTACCCTGAAAATAAAAACACTCACATATAATGTCACAGTAGCTTAATATGGCAAACTAGCCAGAGACAAAGTCTTACATTAAACACATCAATTCAATACTTTAACAGTACAACAGAACAAGTGCAATGGGTGAATATGAGTAATGTGCTACATAGGTTCACAAAAACGAATACACACAACTCCAGCAATACTGCTATTTCATGTCAAGCTTCATTATGGTCATTTATATTCAGTACTGCACCTCTGGGTCACCGATGCCAGAGTCAAAGCCTGCGCACACCAGTACCAAGTCTGGGGAGAACTGTGACAAAGCAACACATATTCAGATAAATCCTGCTTAACACATTCCACAGTCTGTTAGCTAAATGCAAAGTTTGGGTCTCACCTCATATGCGACCGGCAGGAGGATGTGAAAGAAGACGGAAAGATAGTCACTGTTCTGCATTCCGACCTTAACAAACACGATGGGGCCTCATTCACTGACACATTCATACACAAAAACTGCTGCACACAGCGACCACTGCTAAAAGGATTAGCTGATTAACAAACAGCTGATAAGAATGACTCAGTACTAAATTCGATCCTTTTGTGCTCCACCAGGAGTCACTATTAGCAGTAATAGTAACCGTAATAATATATTTTAGCGAGTGATCAGAGCAGGAAAGCAGTTTAAACACTACCTCAGGCTCTGTTAACATATCAGAATGACAACATAACATATTAAATGATTCACTGATTAATCAATACCATATATGTAAAATTTATCATTTTTAGTTGCAGATTTCATTGAAATTCATTAAAAATATCCCATTAAAAAGAAATTATTTTTAGTATGCATCCAAGTACAAATTCCATTAAGTGTTTACTATCTTTATATTATACTCTTTTAGCCAATACAAAAGTGGAGTCTAAGATAAAGAAAACATTTTAAACATTTCGTGTAATTGAAAAAAACATTTATAATTTCAAATGAACAGTATTTATGGTTACTTACCTTGTTCCATGGTACATTTATATTAAATCCAGCCCCCTTCTCTTTGCCAACAATGTCAAAGTCAGATTCTCTAAGATGAGGCCAGTATTTCTGATGCTCGTAGCGATGCCATGAGAAGTAGAGCACACTGGGACAAGAAGTGGCACACAGAGCTTATTATGTTAAAAGACAGAATCCACATCCTTCCATTTGCAAACACTCACCTTGGATCATCTTCAAAACAGTACTGCACCCCTTGGCCATGATGTATATCCCAGTCAACTATCAACACCCTGAACAAATAGAAAAGACACAAATAAATATACAGGCAGAACCAACAGGCCTGCACCACAAAGGGAGTTCAACTTATTCTGGTTCTCTCGGGGTTATCTAGCTCCACTGAGCGTAACATCAGCCAACCTGGATAACTGGTATCAAGAAGCCGGTTATCAACTGGCTGTGTTAAATCTGGGCTTGGAAGGCTTTAAAAGCATCAACAGCTAGGAATTCAGTCTGTAATCTTTGTGCATTTAAAATGCAGCATTGATCATCATGAAGGCTGCGGGCTCCCTCAGTTTGATAGAAATCCACAAAGCCTGAAACAGCACAATGATATGACTCCACTATAGAAATAACTATTTTATACTTATCAAATTAATGTAGACTCTGACTCTGTCAAGGATCCAGTAGGAATAATCGCTCCCTTTTTCTAGTGATCTGACTGGTTGGTGCTCAGGGTGTTGACAGGTTTTGCTCTGATCCCTTGAAGCTAACCTGCTCCAGAGTAGGTGAGTCATGCAACATAAGTTACTGTGGTGATCTAGCCCAATTAACAGTGAGCCAGCTTTGTGGTACTGGAAAACCTGAGCTGAGCCCAGAGTTGGCTGGATGAGCCACTAACCTCGCTTCATGGTACAGGCCCCAGGGGCTGCCAGAATAAATACACACACAAAAAAAACAAAAATGAAAACAAAAAAATTAAAAGTCACATCACCTTTTAACTCCATATTTTTGCTTGGCATATTTAGCTGCTATGGCCACATTGTTGAACACACAGAAACCACTGGCAGCACTGCACATACTGTGGTGTCCTGGTGGTCTGTGACACAGAAGTAAAACAATAACCATTTGCTCTATACAGAAAACAAAGTGACATCTTCTTAATTATGCATCTTCTTGTTGCTTACTTGTTTTGTATTAGGTGTCCAGAATTTTTTAATTTCCATTTTTCGATATCCTCACACATGCATTTTATGTATGGATTTTTATTCACTCTTAAACTCTACAATGATTTGACTCCCTAGACTGGTTTGTTGTCATTTTTGAAGTCTTTATACTACATATATAGTATAAAAATCATTTTTATCTATTGTGAGTTTAATGTTTCACAAATGTCCATGACAAAAACCTAACTAGCGAGACACTGTGTGGGAGTTTGCCACCTTTTTATCACGTCAAATACATTAAACACTTCAAGTCAGAGTGGCACCACAGTTTTACGCAACATGCAAAACATTTTTACTAAAAAAAAAAAAAGCCAACAAAATTAACAACTCCTATGTTCTTTCAAACTAAATATTTATTCTATGTGGAAAAAATCCAAATTAATTGTATCCTGAAAAGAACAAGCCCAAAAATTGATTGTGATATTTTACTTGACCTTGCCTGTCACTTCTGTTCCACAGCTATAAATCAATAAAGCACTAAGGCAGAGCAGTTTAGGATTAAAGTACAAATAAAGACTGCTGTGTTTCACTGTTAACTGGCTCACCTGACCAGAGCCATGCCATTCCTCATCTTCCCTGTCAAAACACTGTCCACTAGTTGCAGTGCAGCTCCTGCAGCCAGCTTGGCACAGTGATAGATGTTCTAGGACAAAGCATGATAAAGTCAAGTTTAAGTGGAGTGAAAGTGATCCTTAAATCTATCAACCTGAGAAAATCACTCCTCTAACCACCACAATCAGGAGATACAGAAAAATGGCAGCAACTGCAGCTAAGCAACTGTAACCCATGGGTAAAACCAAGACTATTAATGGCAATTCATTGGTCAGCAATTGTTGTCTTATTTTATGTTATAAATTAATCTTGATTATTTTCACTGCTGTCATCCCGCGGTTATGGGGATATTTTATTTTGGAAGGCTTTACTTTGAAAGCTAAAACCGCCTTCCTGGCTTTTTGCTCAAGCTTGGTGACCCTCCACTAGACTGAAGGGGCCTGAGCTGCTGGAAGTGATATTCCAGGCGAACTAACTTGAACAGTAGAAAAGCTAATTAAGATTGTACTAAAACCAGCAGACGGACTGGACATGTTGGATATATGAGAACTTGAGACCGTGTTTTGAAGTTTTTTTTCGGTGAGTAAAGCTATGAGAAAATCAGTGAATTAGCTTAGCTTATACGCTACCATGGGGTGTGGTGTGTAATCACGTTGCTCAGTAAAACACTTGCACTGGTTAGAATAGAGGTAGAAATGTTTATTGTAATTGTCTTATATGGTGTATTGTGAAGATATTATTAAGTGTTAATTGTCGTTTAACTGTATTTGCACTAAGTGAATGTAGTCAACTTTCCTTTATGACTGGATAGAACATTTTAATGCAGCTATTAATATAAACCCATGGGTTAATAAGAGAAGTTGTGTTACACCTTGAGTTGATAAATAAAAAACTGCACAGTTAAGAGGGAACAGCTAAAAACACTTTGGAAAAAAGAGTGTGAATAACTTTGTATACTTATGTAGTGGTTAGCAGTAAAACAAGGCTCCAGAGGTGATATGTAATAGAACAGTATGTAGTTCATATAGATATTATTTGGGTTAGTTGTGTAAGGATGTAAGGCTGAGCTAAGTGTGTACGGAAGCTGTTTTTCTTCTCTTGCTCAAGCAGGAATATCTTGGGCTGTGTCCCCCTTGTTTAGCCTATGGGTCAACATCCTGAGTGACTTCCTCCTCAGATAGGGAATAGATATATTGTAGCTGTAGCCTTACGTGAACTGTTCGTGTGCTCTGTTCAGATTTAGAAAAAGGAAATGTGTGCTAGGTCCATGCGACCCAGAAGTTCAGGTACTGGACAGTTTAGACAATGCTCGGAAGAAGATGCGTGTGGGTAGCTGGCATGGGACCGCATCTTCATGGCTCCGGCCATGCAGGGCTGTGTGAGTATGAGCAGATAAAGGCTGGGTTAGGGCAGAAGAAGAGAGAGAGAGGATGACCATGCTACCATGAACAGTGTACCACAAGCCCGGCCTCGGAGGGCCGGGGCGAAACGACGACAGACTGGGGGTTGACAGGGGAACCGACTCGGGACCAACATCAAATGGCTTGACTGACTGGCGCTCTGACAATCTTCTTATGCTTTATCTATCACATTGCAGGAGGACAGTCTCTTCTCTGATCTCTGTTATCTGTTTCCCTAACTACCATGATTATCTGTTTAAATACTACTCTATTCAGAATTGTAATATTAAATGATCCTTTAAATTGGGATGGTTTGTCTGAATTAATTTAGTCGGTATCACACTCTAGCCACGACACTGCTGCAGAGCAGAGGATGGCTGCAGCTGTCGGGGTCCCTGAGAGTTTTGTTGCTAGAAAAGCTGCAGGACAGATGGTGAGAAAGGTAAGAGACCACAGGCTGGTGGTGTGGAGCGTCTCTGTCATTATTCAGCCAAGTATTCTGGCCTTCAGTATCTCCCATACAAGGGTTACACAACAAAGAATATTAAGTATAGGACTAACTGGGTGGAAGTAGACATCACCAAACTGCAGGGTGAACTCCTTCAGTTCCTCTAGAGTCTTGTACGGGGTCGTCTTCACTGCATCCAGGTAATCCTCACTGTTAGGGGCAGCAAAGCACGTGTAGCTGAGAGATTTGAGGTGTTTATCTCTCCACTCTGATCAGAGCTAGAACAATTAACTGAACCAGGTCAGAGCTTTTTGTCAGCATCTGGACTGACCTGTGAACCAGCAAAATATCTGCATCCGTTGCCTCGCGGACAGGTATAGACATGCAACGATCAGCCAGACCGCTCTCGACCAGGGCCTCATAACTCACAGTCAGACGCTCAGGCACTTCTATCTTACACGCTGGACTGGAAAAAGAAATATTTCAAACACTTGATTTAAATCATGCCTGGGAGTTTGTGTTCTAGATGTGTATGTGAAGTAGTGAATGCCCACTAGTGAATCTGTGTCTGAATCCTGGAGAATTGAATGTGTTGATGTGCATGTCAAATTCAGGTTTTACTAAATTTTGTCAGAATTTAAAAAAAAAAAATTTGTTTCACATAAGTATAACGTGTAACATGAAAAGTCAAGGTGCAGTTAAAATACTGTAACGTTACAGTGAATCTCCCACATTTTAAGAAAAATATAAATACTGAAAACAAGTGGTAAATTAAAAAGAATATGAAATACAGTAGGCTACCGTTCAGTTGACAGTAGTCATACAAAAGCAAGAATTTACTGGGCGAACGACACAGTAGCTCCGTGTACTAATGACATACTAACGGTACTTACTCAACCCAGAGCAGTTTGTAATTGGTCATCTCTTCGTCATAAATTAAAGCTGTTCCCATTTTCGTTGTTTCTCTGAGCAGTTAAGCTGCAACACATGAGATTTCTGCAGTGCCACAGTTTCTTCTTGTAGCAGAATGTCTCTGTCATGTGCACGAAGTCAGACAGATAAAACTGACACTCAACACTGGGTTGTTTCTCTTTCTCCTTTTCTTCTTCGTCCCCTTTTTCTCATAAATCCTCTTTCTTCTTCTGTTGTTTAATAGCTGTTGGCAAACAGTTTTAGCTCCATTACCGCCACCTTCTAGACTGGAGTGTGGATCACAACGGCTCCTACCTACTACTATAACAAAATAACCTCACTCAGTTCATATTATATTGTCTTGGTTAATCTGGTTTTGTGGAGGTTGTGACATAATGGGGCGCCATCGCCACCTTGTGGCAAGGGTTCAGTACTTCTGAAATAACATCAGTCTTCTCATGAAAAAGTAATTTCAAACAAGTTCTGTAACATTTCTCAAATATTAATTAGGGTTTTTGTTCTTCGACATTGGCTAAAAGACAAAACTGCATTTTACTAACCCATTTATGTATATAGGCCTATTTGTCCTAATATTCCATTTAAATGTCAAAAGTACCTATTATGTTAATTATTGACTGTTTGTGCATTTCTTTGCTTATTTATTTATTTTCTTCTATGTTGTATTTTCCAATTACAGAGCAACAAGTGTTGTCAAATCAGACAATTTTGATTTAAAACAAACAAAAAAGTGCAGCACAAATCAATAAACAACAGTAAATTGCAAGCTCAAAATATAGAAACATAATATGACCATCTCCAGGGAAGTGGTGGCATCTTTCCTGTGGGAAATATGTGGACTGAAAGCAAATAATATTCTCTCTGACTTTAAGAATGTTTGGTGAAGATGTTTATTTTAAAAATATCTGACAGTTTGTTGCAGTCTGGAAGTCAGACAGCTGTAGAAGTTGACTGTCTCCAACAACACAAACAAATGCTGAAAACCAAGCTGATGCAGTGTAGGTTTATCACCACAAAACAAAATGAAGTGTTCTCCTCATTTGCTTCAAGATATACACAGATTTAAGTGGGTTGACCTTTTTCTTTTTTAAACATGTTGAGCCTTTCACCCTTCATTCACTACGCCTCCCACATCCCCCACCATCTCCAGATCCGTTTTATCTGCCGTTTCCTCCTGCTTTCTTATGGGAAAAGCTGAGCCCCCTTCCTCTTTCTCAGCCTCTCCTTCATCCTTCTTTCCCTCCCCTCCTTTGCTGCTCATCCGGAGAAGTGCTCCTCTGCATCTCTTCCTAAATGACGGATCATAGGCAGCGTACAGGAGAGGGTTAAGACAAGAGTTGAGGTACGCTAAACAGGTGACGTAGGGCTGGGCAGCAAGCAAAATCTGATCTAAAGAGCAGGAATATGGGACAAAACCAAACTCCAGCAGCAGGGACAGAGTTTTATTTACATGCAGAGGCAGCCAGCACAGGAAGAACGCCATCACTAAAGTGACAATGACTCTGAGGAGTCGGTGCTGGCGCCTGCGATCAGGACGAGGGCCTCGTCCAAAGTGTCTGCTGAGGAGCTGGGCCAGTGAGCAGTAGCAGATCAGTAAAACGACAAGAGGAAGCAGAAAGCCAATTAGTGTTGATTTAAGACTTAGGGCAGCCGCCCACCACATCTCAGCCCTCTCTTTTTCTGTCTCCTCCTGCTCTGTTCCTGTCAGCATTGAGTAATCCATCTGGCAGGAGAGGAACACTGATCCAGAGTCAACAGACTCCCGCTGCCAGTCATCCTTAGATTCAGAGTCTGGCACCCTCTCCTGGACAGAACGCAGCAGCAAACCAGGCAGAGCCAGGATCCCCGCCAACACCCACACTCCCCCAAGTACACACAAAGCCCTGCTGCGGCAGCTCCGCAGGGCATGGTGGCTGGAGTGGCGGCGTCCAGTAAGAACCCAGTAGCGCTCCACACTGAGCATGCTCAGGCTGAACACACTGGCATACATATTGAGAGCAGTGAGGAAGCTGCTGATTTGGCAGAGTGGTTGCCCAAAAGGCCAGTGGTAACCCATGGCTGTGTAGACCGCCCACAGAGGGAGTGTCACAAGGAAGCAAAGGTCAGCTAATGCTAAGCTAGCTATTAGAGAGTCTGTCAGTGAGCGGGAGGGACGAGGGATGGAGGGGGGATAGGAAGAGGAGGTGGAGGACTGAGAGGAGGGTCTGCAGTTTTGTGCTGTGAAATATCCACAGTTTTCTTTGTCCTTCAGAGGAAAAGACTTGTTGTGAACTCTACCAGCTCTGTTACTGTTCTGGTGACTGGTTCTAAATATATTGGCACGACAAAGCTTTCCATCTCCACTTTGTGGTTTGTCCTCAGTTCTTGCTCTTCTCCCCTCGGCTCGGTCAAGGTAGACCCATAGCACTAGGCTGTTTCCAAAGCATCCAACCAGAAAGGCCAGGAGGTAGATGAAAGGGATGATGGAAAAGGAGGGAGTCCAGTCGGTGTAGTCACAGTGGGAGAGGAGTGGCGGAGAAGGAGAGGAGGAGGAGAGGACGTCTGTGTCTGATGTCCGTCTATCCATCTCCCTTGTTTCTATAAAAACTGACTTTCCAATAAAACCACTGGAGGTTCCAGTACTTTCCTGGCAAGTTGAAGTTTGGTCAGTGCAATGTGCAGAAACCAAAAATAAAACTCCTGTACTTGTACAGTTGTTTGAGATAGCAAGTAAGATTTGGATTCTGGCTCCAAATGTGGATTGGTTGTCCACTCTTATCTTTCACTTCCCCTTTTGTTCCTTGACTCAGAAGTTCTGAAAATAAAGTGAAATTTTGTGAGATTCATACACCTGGCAACAGGAAACACTGTACATTCAGCTTTTCACAACAAGTGAAACTTTGGCTACATATGCAAATAATGACTACTTTTATTGTGGATTCATTTTCTCCATTAATCAACTAAGTGTTTGGGTTGTAAAAATTCAGAAAATAGTTAGAAATGTTGTCACAATTACCCAAATCCCAAAGGGACACTTCAACAGTGCTCAACAAACAGTCTAAACCTCAATTTTAATAAAATTATTAAAAAGAAATGCAGTAAACTGTCTCATTTAAAAGTTTGAGCCATGAAATATTTGGCACTTTTACATGAAAAATGACAAATTATTAAACAGTTGCCAAATAATTTAGTAAATTGATCATTTCAGCTCTTCTTATCTATGCTGTTGAGCGGTTTCATCAGTAAGTAAAGCTGAAAAATAATGCAGTGGAGTAAAAAGTACAGTATTTCTCTCTGAAATGTCATCAAACAGAAGCTGTATAAATTACTCAAGTACCTCAAAACTGTATTTAAGTACAGTGCTTTCAGCTATTGGTGTTTTGCATATACTCTAGTTATCATAAATGATGACATGGCCCTGAGAACAATTTTGATTCAGACATTTACCTCAGGCTCATCAGCTTGGATGAAATCCCATCTGAGATGCCAGTAACTTTGTGAAGGTCACTGCAGAGCAAGAGTTGGCCTCTGTCCTCTCATCCTGTCTTCTCTCATCTCACGTCTCCTGTTTCTCTCAGTCTCCACATCTGTACTGTATCAGCCAAAGAAGGTGTGTCGTCTTCTTATCTGAATGTACTATAGCAGTGTCCTCCACACACACACACACACACACACACAACCTTCTTTCTCTTGTTCTTAAACCAGACCACCCCAGTAGAGAGTTACGAGACCTGCAAACACCCCCCTCCATAAGACACACGTACCACCCAAAAGACACAATAACTCCCTCACAAACACACACAAACCCAAGATACACAAACAGATACCCCCAGTTCTCCAGGCTGCTTATATTCTCTATGCACAAACACATCCATTAAACGTGTTCTCGCTGTCTCACATGTTCAAACACACTGCGTACACACTAGTTAAATGTAACAATCCACACAGACGACAAAGAGCTGCTAACAGCTCACACATTCATGGTGAAAGTGTATATGAGCAGCATTCTTGAATGCATTTAAAACACGTTTATGCCAATGGTCTTTATATACCCGGTTTAAATGCAAATGAAAACTGATCCTAACCCACAGCTGTGTTAACTCTTGCCATAAAGATGTTGCCACTTCACAGCAAAATAAATACATTGTTGTAGAGAATTGTGTTCATCAAAATGCCTGTCAAAAGCATTTTCCACCTTAAGAGAAGAGAACTTTATTAAAAAATACAGTAATACATACTCATATAGTTGAGCTTGCTGTGGCCTTCGGGATTTCATATCTCAAGTGTCTTCTTCAGGAACTCTTCATAGTATAATTGGCTAGTGTGATTTAAATTTTATTACATAGTTTTAAGACCTTTTAATGGAGAAATGTGCTCTTACATTTGGAAAATTTGACAGATGTTTCTTGGAACATAAAGGAAATAGCTTTGAAATACTATAGACTATGCATTTCACAATTTTGTTGTGCTGTTTAGTTTTGTTTTTAATTTGTATTATTTTTTGTTTTTCATTCAATGGTGAAGACATGTTAAAAATGAAAATTAGGATGTGTAAGCATGCGGTTAAAATGTCATTACAGACAATGATATATTATTCTAGACCAATCGGAGTTACTGTTGGCTAGCTGTATTTGTTGTATCAACTCAGAGCCTATACTGCTGGCAGTGTGATGGTGACTTTTCACATCTCTATTTTGATATTGATATTTTTTGTAAAAACTTAGATTTAGGATGAACCAAAGAAAAGTGGAGGATTAAATATTGAGATGTGAACAAAGAAACATTTGAACACTGAAATTGATCAGTTTGTCATTGTATTAAATAAATAGTTTAAGTTCATGGCAGACATGAGTGTATGGTTTTGTGTTATTGCAACTTAAATGGTTTAAGGCAGTTGGTTTCCTCAAATGATTTAAGTAACCACAACAAAGATTAAAGTTACTACAACTTGATTATAATAATTTTACTTAGTGAAAGAAAAATGAGTTGATGAAATGAAAGTGGTAATATTTGTATAAAGAAGATGCATACTTGGCCAAATAAAGTGATTATCTTTATTACCTAATTCAGAATAAAGGGTATTGTGTGGCTCATATTTTGCAGAGTTGACAGATTGCAAGCTCACGGTCAGGACGAGAGCAGTGTTGCCAACTTAGCGACTTTCTCGCTAAATCTGGCGACTTCCCAAATCCTCTTAGCAACATTTTTTGTCAAAGGCGACTAGGGACAAATCTAGCGACTTTTTCTGGTGTTATTTGAGACTTTTTTTGATGTTTTGGAGACTCTGACGTGAAAGCACGTATCACCCTGCAGTTACTGTCCTCAACGAGCAGCGGGTGCTGCTGTGAACCCCTCCGCGTCCCAAAGCACTCACGGACGGTCCCAGCTGCAGAGGAGATCCATACCGCTCCTCGTTCAGATTGCAAATGAATTGCGCATGCGCAAAGCCGCCGCTGATCTCGCCCTGTCTTACAGAGCTGGATGTAAATGTAAACGTTTCTTCAGTATCACACTAAAATAAATCACATTTGACTCAGCCTCAGTCACTTACTCACCTCGTCCATTGTGTTAGTGATGGGAAGTTCGGATCATTTTACTGATTCAGTTCTTTGAATCTCGTTCAGCAAAACAAACGAATCTTTTTTCGAGTGATTTGGGTCACTTCAGCAGAATGTAATTACAATGTTACATGTTAATTCCCCATCTGCTTACGCACATATTCATCACCTTTCGAAAAAGAACTATAATGCAGCCATGGTCATATTATAAGAAATATCGTACCTGTGTCTTGAGGCTATGCGCGGTCAACACAAAATGAACGAATCATTCCCCGAGACGACCCGATGTTCTCGAGTCATGGAAAAGATTCGTATAAAATGAACGAATCGTTCGTGAACGACACATCCTCTTTTAGCCTCCTTACAGCATGTTCGTTCATCACCCTCCTATAAAAAAGATTTGTTTTTGGCCTTTCTTTTCTATACTGGCAGTCATAAACCAAAAATACAGGTAGATAGATGATCACTAATATCATTTATAAGTAATCCACTTGACATTTTGTTATCAATATCATTAGTAAATATATTATCTATTAGTGTTGCATGCTGGGTTGTTAATCTGCTTGGTTTTGTAATTTTTGGGTATAAACTGCATCTATATAATGCGTTAATAAACTCCTCAGCTCCTAATTCACACAATAACTTCAACAAATGTACTGAAGGTTCAGTTCTAGCAATGAGCCAACATGTACAACACCAGGACCCAGTTCACCTATGACAACATGCCAAGCCAAAGTGTTGAGTGAGTGTGCACTGCCTTACAGATCTCTGGCTGTCGCTGTTGTGTGACAGCCACTGGTGGTGGTTAGCAGGTTTCCAAACATGGCAATGGGTTGGTTACTTGTAAAAGGAAAAAGATAAGAATTTGCATAATGTGTTTGAGATGTAGCTATAGTGGAGGCAAAGTCCACACAGTGTGACATTTCAGAGGGATTAAATGCACAGTGGAGACATACTACACATTTTGTCATGAATGTCTATAGGGCAGATCAAATGCTCATCTGTCTGCTTATTGTGATGGCAGGAGCAGAGGTGCAGGAAAATGTCTCACCTGAGTGTGAGCAGTTCCTGTACATGGGCACACTGCCACGAGGGCTTGAGGACCAGCCTTTTAAAAAGATCTGCCAGGTCTACCAAGGAAAACCACGGTTTGTGACTCTGTACGACACCTTCAACCATATCCCTGTTTATTCTGCGTACACCTTCAAGCGCTCAGATGGCTCTAAGAAGGTTGATGTACCTTGGATGTATGAACCACAGGTAGGGATGGGTGTCCTGAAAAAGAAACTTTGGTCTTGCTTGCAAATCTATTTCTATTCATAATGAGTGTTTATCATGACAGCTGTCCACAGTGTCTGGCTCCCGAGAGATGCAGCAGCTCCCTTCAGAAAATGTTCATAAGAGATTTGAAGATGCTCAGGCTGTCCTTGATGACTACTCTGATTCTGTGATCTTTGAGCGTGGTCAACTAAATCCAGATGAGCACCAGGCCGACCTTGATGACAAAGCGGCCACCTACACTCTGACAAATGTGGTTCCTCAGGTCCGAGAGTTCAACATTGGTCCCTGGAGAAATCATGAGCACACCATCCGCCGACGGCTCAACAACTACTGCCATGGTACAGCTTACTTGGTCACTGGGGTCACCACCTCGGGGCACACAATTCGCCGCCAGAACATCAACCGCCTGGGTATCCCAACCTACCTCTGGTCGGCCTATTGCTGCATTGACTTTGACCACAATGCACCTTACTCTGAGCGCTCCAAGTTTCCTGCATTTGCAGCTCACGGGCTCAATGACCGGGAGAATAATAAGGTTCAGGAGATGACTGTGCAGCAGCTAGAGGACTTCCTCAAGAGGGTAACTTATGTTGGCAGCACTTTCCAGATATTCTATGACAACTGTGTGCCTCGTAATAGTGCCAACAGTGCCCTGCACCTGCCTTAAAGACAAAGATGTCATATGGTATAGCTTCATTTTTACACCACTAAAATACAAATACTTCGCAGCTGATTAAGAATCACTTTAAATTCAGTGGGCGTTTTTACTTATTTAATCAAAATTTTGCAGATGTCCTAGGTAAATGAAATTATTGCCTATATGCATAACATTTTGATTAAAACTCCAACATACAATAAAGTGAACTTAAAAACCTACCTCCTGGTTGTTATTAAAATTCAATTTATCTCATGTTAATGTCTAAATGACTGGGAACTACACCTGTCTCCGTAGGCCTTTTGTTGAACACAGACAGATTAGAACGACAGTTTTACATTGTCCCATTTCATACACACATGCTCTTAGATACGCACTCCTCTTTGTAAAACTGAAACAGACCAATCCGGGACAAACTGGGCCAGTATCCACACTGTGCTTTTTAATTTAGAGCTTTTTCATCCTATAAATGGCAGAGATATTCACAGATACAAGGTTAGTACAAGTACAAAAGCAGTACGCATGTATGAAAGCTAAGAATTTGCATTTCCCAGCTGATCAGAGCAGAGAGGTTTTTTTGTGTGTGTTTAATCGTTTTGGGAACAATAACCATTCTTGTTGCTCTGATCTGAATTTTTCTTGTAGACCCTTTGTTTACATTTGAATCAAACTGCGCCATAAGATGTGAACAACAAAAACTAAAATAAGTTCAAACTGAGTTGGATTTGAAAATACAAGTCTTTTCCTCAGTTGTCAGGCTCTACAATAAGATCTCTTTTGAATGTGCCTTGGAACAGCAGCTCATAGATGATACAAACAGGATTAAAACAAACACAGAAAAATGATCCAAACAGGCTGAACAATAGGATTATTAACCACAGCTGTGTCCTGCCAGCTGCCATATGCCACAGTGCCTGATGGTCAGCAGCATCAGTGTCTATCTGGACCAGTAGCAATTTGAAATACATTCACTCTCCACTGGAAAGACACCTAGCTCAGATGGCCAGTAGAGGGCCAGAGAGTTTACATTACATTAGAAGTAAAACCCATTTCTGTAGGTGAGAAAAACAGCATTAATGCCACATAAAACAATATCTAAAACCCCCATAATGGGGACAAAACCTAAAACAGTGCCAGATTAACAATAATGGCTTTATAACAGACAATGAAAGAGACTGTGTACTTTCATTTTAAACTTTTTTTAATTTATCTCATCACATCTTCTGAATCAGCTTAAGGGTAAAAATAAAAGACAAAAGCTCATACTTCTGTACAAATGGGGCAGTACTGTAAGAGCATAACGACTTAAATCACTAAAGCTGAAACCTTTAAGAGCAACTAAAAATGTTAAATAATAAATTGTTGATGTTCTTCTTGGTCCCCCCCCCCCAAAAAAAAAAATTGGGGTTCACATAGAACCCAAGCACTCTCTCTCACACACACACACACAAACATCGATACACTTAAAACACTCACAACAGTAAGTAGCGACAGACAGGTGCTGTGCAGGGTGAAGCAGCAGTCCAGTTTAAGCCAGAGTTTGTTCTGGTCTCAGTTGAACCAGGTGGTGTTGAGCTGCGTCTGTTTCTTGATACTTGTGTCCAACTTGAGGACTTCCCGGATTGCCATAGTGGCATAGGTTGAAGGAGGCAGAGAAAACTCCATCCTCAGAGCACGATACTTCCCCTCTGTTAGGAAAGGAAAACAAACACTGTATTAGGCTGTGCACAGAGGAGTACACTAGACAGCCAGAATTGTAAAGATTTGTCAGATAGTTAATGAGCAGGAAATTAAACTGGCTATTTTGATTTTCAGTTAATAATTGAGACTTGTTTCAAGGGGGGGGGGGAAAAAAACACAAAAAAAAACAAACAAAAAAAAACACAACAACAACAACAATCTTTACTCTAGACACCTAGTTTGGCTATTTTATGCTTGTGCAACACTGAAGACCTCTATCGCATGCTCAAGAACTAGTTTGGATTAGGCCTTTTTCATTTTGGAGGCATATTTCGAGCTGCCAATGACAGGACCATGTTTGTTGTAACCTGCTATCAATGCTGTTTTACTGGAGCTAGAAATGTGTGTGTGAACAAAATATGGGTGGAAATCTGTTTAAGTTTTACACACATGCATAATGGTACATAAATATATTTTTAAGTGTGACAAAATGACAACTCAGCTGTCCTAGCGTCACACAGTATGGCTGCATCGGTAAATCAAATCTACCCTGTGTGTTACCACTTTAAAGACACTTACCTTTGTTGAAGATGGGAGCAGGTTTGTTCTCCAGTTTCTCAAAATCCGTATGCACCAGGGGGATCCTGGGGTCATCATACTGAATAACCTCCCTGTACATGGCAGAGAGAAACACCACAATGCATCAGTTTGTAATTAACAGCTAATGTAACAGTGGTGGTATTAAAATACAATGGTATTAAAAATAATGTACTAGCATTTCATGCACTTGGAAAGTGTACTGAAAGGCGTGCTAACCAGCTGACGTCGCTGGGTCTGATGAGGATGCGTCTGTAGGCTCCAGCCAGAGAGTAGTCCTTCACTTTGTGTCTCATGTTGTCGATGTCCAGCCCATCGGCAGAGAGCAGCTCTCTGTAGCCGTCACCTACTGACAAACACGCAGGAAACACTGATAAAGCAACACAATCGCATACTCAGAAAATATTTTTTCTTGTTTATTTACTGTTTCATTTTGACTGTTAAATCAGATTTTTTAATTTTATTCATCCATCGCTTATCCAGGACCGGGTCGCGGGGGCAGCAGTCTAAGCAAAGATGCCCAGACTTCCCTCTCTCCAGACACTTCCTCCAGCTCCTCC